GGGCTGGCTGGCATGTGGTGCTGGCGGATGGAACCGCGGTCCCTGTGCTTTGCTAAGCTTGTTCTAAGTAGGTGCTTTAGACCACTGAGCCATCTCACCAGCCCCTGTATTCAATCTTAATACAAACTCTGGACCCCAGTACATGAGAAAGCAGAAATGGCTACATTTAGCACTTACCTCGAGTTCATTCAGGCGCTGGACTCTGGGAGTAAAACGAAAGCTTTTTACTTCACAGGCAAATGGTGGTTGCCAGTCCTAAACAGAAAGAATTTCTTTTACACTCAGTGGTATATAAGCAAGGAGTGCATCATTTATTCCCTTAGGAGTAAATTGTCACAAGTCGTAGATTACCTTATATTACCTTTTTATTCCTTTTTGGAGACACTGGAGATTGACTACAGAGCATTCTAGAACTGAGCAATATTTCTAGTCCCTCTTCCTGCTTTTTTTCTCTCTTTGGTACCAAGAATTGTATTTACAACCTCACGTTTGCCAGGCAGACACTATGCCACTGAGCTATATCCCCAGCCCTTTTTTTTTAAATGTATGTGGTACAGGGTCTCACTACCCAGCTTGGACTCTTAGTGATCCTCCTGTTTTTAGCCTCCCCAGTGCTGGGATTACAGACGTGCGCCACCATGCCCAGTCTCTGTGGCTGGATCAACATGCCTAGGGTGGGGCCACGACATGTGACGCTGGAGATCCAACCCCAGTCCCTGTGTTTGCCTAAGCAAGCACTTAGTACACTGAGCTATCTCGTCAGCCTCCAAACATTCCCCCCCTTTTTTTGCATTATTTTATTTTGCAACAAGATCTCACCATATTGCTTATACAGGATTTGAATTTAGGATTCTCTAGCCTCAACCTCCCTAACCACTGGGATTACAGGTATGTGCCACCAACTCCAGCTAACATTTTCTTTATTGTAGACAGGAAGAATAGAATTTTGCATATAAAGCAATTTAAATTTTAATTTAATATTACTTACAGGATCAATCTTCAAATCTCACCAGTCTATTTACAGCCCATAATTATGCTTTCCCAAATTACTCAAAATAGATTTCAGTGAGTTTACACACCATAAAACAATATCCAGCTAAATGGTTACCAAATTGAAAAAGAAAAAAAAATTGAAAAGAACAACAAAACAAGTAAAATTAAAGATTAAAAATATACTGTGGGCTAAGTATGTAGCTCAGTAGTAGAGTAATTCACTGGCACAAATGAGCCCTGGATTCAAGTCTCAGCACTACAGAGCAAAACAAAAAATAGTTTAAGTATTCATGAGGAATCAGGCACAGGGATGAAATATTATAACCCAACCTATTAAGAAGGCTGAGGCAGAAAGATCACAAGTCTTTGGCACATCTGGGCAACTCACATCCTACCTCAAAAAAAAAATTTTTTTTAAAGGCATGGGATGAGGTCAGAGTATTGTCATATTGGGCACTGGGCTCAATCCCCAGCATCAAAAAATGAAGTACAACATACTGAGGAAAGAGGACAGCTTGAGCCTGAGTATGGTCTAACTTGGGCAAGAGACCCCTTCTCAAAAATATAAATATTTGCCTGTTTAATTCCAGCACTCTGGGAGGCTGAGGCAGAAGGACCAGAAGTTCAAGGCCAACTTAGCAAGACTAACAGAACTTTTTATTTTGTCTCAAAAAAAAAAAAAAAGGCTGGAAATGTAGCTCACTGAAAAGGCTCTGAGTTTAATACCCAGTACCACAAAAAAGGATCTATAGTGATTCCTCAGTTCAGGAATGATTCTGTTGGTTCAAAAACTGAAGCATTTGGCAAAATTTAGTTTTTGTTCGCAAACGCTACATCGGGTGACAGGCATTTCCCATGTGAACATGGCTATCTTTTCCATAATTGTGGGATGAATTAAGGTTGTGAACAAAGGGACCACTGTATTAAGGTAATTTTTAAATATGTGTAAATGTAAGTTTTTTGGGGGGGAGTTTGTTGGGTTTTTTTGTTGTTGTTGTTTTTTGATTTTTTTTTTTTTTTTTTTTTTTGCGGAACCGGGGATTGAACTCAAGTCCTTGTCCTTGCCTGGCAAGCGCTTATTCTACTGAGCCATCTCCCCAGCCCTGTTGTTGTTGTTGTTGTTTTGGTGGTACCAGGGATCGAACTCAGGGCCTTGCACTTGCCAGAGAAGCACTTATTCCACTGAGCTATTCCCCTGGCCCCTATAAGCATTTTAGAGTGTATGTTCTAGAAAAGTTTTGTTCATAGCTCTGGGGTTACAGGTGAACATGAAGCTCATTAAAAAAAAACAAGAAGAAATCTCATAGAATAGAGACAATTTCCAGACTTTGATAGAACTAAAATGAGATTATGAGATCATAAATTTCAAGTGATGGTTCTAGAGAACTAGATTTGTTTTGTTTTAGGGACAGGGTTTCACTGCATAGTTCAGACTGGCCTCAAACTTGCAAAGATCCTCCTGCCTCTGCTTCCCAACTAGGGGGTTACAGGACTGTACCACGATGCCCACCTAGATGCACTTTTTTTTTTTTTTTTTTAAAGATTTGATTTAAATAGTAAATCCATGGACCAGCAAGATAGCTCAGCAGACTAAGCATCTGTTTAGGCAAGCACAGGGACCAGGGTTCAATCCCCACCCTCAGGCACACTGAGCCCCAGACCAGGCAGGGTAGAACACACCTATAATCCCAGCGCTAAGGGGTCAGGGAGATAGCTCAGTAGACTATGCGCTTGCCTGGCAAGTGGAAGGGCCTGAGTTCAATCCTCGGTTCCGCAAAAAAAAAAAAAAAAAAATCCCAGCGCTGGAGAGGCTGAAAACAGAAGAATCACTACAGATCCGAGCTGTGTAATGAGACCCTATACTAAATACATTAATAATAATAATAATAATAGTAAATCTGTTTAAGATAAGAGCAGCAGTTCAAAAAGTCCCCCCACCAAAAAAGTCCCTTACTTTCCAAACTGAAAAAATCTGCCAATATCTAAATTAAACTCTACTGTAAATTAGATCTACTTTCAGTAACAATGTGACATCCACAGAAAAGGTATACTTTTACAGTTTTTTTAAGTAATGAAAAACCACTTTTTCTTATCATTAAGGATCCACGAATAGAATTTTTAGTGACTGCAATAGCAGAACGTGAAAATATGGTTTAGAAAAACTTGAATATTCAAGGTTTGGTCAATAGAGGTAATTTTGGTAGAGGAATTAAGTGGAAGCTTTTAAAGAATGACAATACAGGGCCAGGAAGATGGCTCAGTGGAATAAGCACTTCCCTGGCAAACGCAAGAGCCTGAGTTCAATCCCCCGTTCCGCCAAAAAAAAAAAAGCAAAGCAGGGGATGTAAGCAAATGTGTGGGAAGCTCTGGGTTCAATCCCCAGTGCAACACATGCACAGAAGAATGACAATACGTATCATCATAACAATGATTTATTTATTAATCCTTTCCTTGAAAATGATGGTGTATAATCCTAACAAATGCATTCAGCAAACTCATTCACTGATCAGCAGGATTTCTGTTTTAGAATCAGGAAATTAATCTGGGTTCAAAATCCACTTTGCTACTAGCTCAAAAATCACACATTTGTCAAGTGTTTTAACTTTTCCAGACTTTCCTCATCTGTAAAATGAATTTTATTTGCATACTGGGTCTCTAACATTACATGAAACAATCTCTAGGTGCTAAATTAGCTCCTCTTCCTTCCTCCCATCCAGGCTTCTAAAATCACTGTGGCACATATTTTCATGGAATAGTAGTCAGCTGTGAGGGTAGAGGCTTTGAAAAATTCAAACATGGGGGGCCTGGGATACAGCTCAGGGGGGCTGCACCTGCCTGGCATGCATGAGGTCCTGAGTTCAGTCCTGGTACCCAAACAATAAATAAATAAATAAATAAATAAATAAGACAAAATTCAAACATGACACTGCATTAGTTTTATCTTAACTACTACTGGACAAAACATAAAGCAAAATATCTCTAAGAAATCTATTTGGGCCCAGCCTGGGCAACTTACTAAGTCTCAAAAAAGAATAAAGGGATGAGGATGCAGCTCAGTACAAAGGAGCTGGATTTAATCCCCAATACTAAGGGGAGGAGAAAAATCATTTAAAAAAAAAACCTAGGGGGGAACAACTAAGGAAAGGCTCACAAACCAAGTTGCACTCTATATTTGTGAGCACTTGCTAGAAACACAAACTCCAGGCCTTCCATAACCAGAAATCGATTTTTTTTTTCTTTCCTGGGGATGGTACCCAGGGCCTCCGGGGAACTAGGCAAGTACTTCACCTCTGGACCCTAATAGAACCTATTCTCATCTCAAAAAGAACTTAGGGATTTGCCTTTTAACATACAACTGATGCTGACGCAGGCTGTCCAACATTATTTGGAAAGCACCAGTCTTAACAGGTCAAGAAAAAAACCGTTTGACCTTGAACACATCACTCAACCTCTTAGGGCATTAATTAACCCCAAAGAGTAGTACCTGTTTTCTTTAAAGACTAAGAATTATAATTAACCAACCTATAGGCAAACCTAGTTATTTACTATAATTGCAATTCTTTAGTCTTTGCTCCATAGCTCCAAGGGATTTTAACGTTTTCTTCCACCTTTGTTATTTACCAATTTTTCCTAATCCGCTATCTAAACTTGAAAATTAATTGACCCTCTTCCCCCCCCGGGAAAGATTTTCTCACTGCAGTAATTAGGCTGGAGTCTCCTCTAGTGATATTATCCTGGCAGACTCCTGGAGCTCAGATTACCTTTTAAGAAACCCTAGCCCTGAAATGTGGCCTGCAAATGTTTCTGATACACTAAGCACCACAGGGCTTGGGTAAGGATACAGCCGCTGGAATGGCAGTTTCTCCGAGCAAATCCTAATGAGAATCCTACAGGAGTGTAGGGCATGTCAGGGCAGAACATTTCCAACGCCCGACCGGCCGGCAGGCCTGAAGCCTTGTTACCCTTGCCCCAATCCAAATAAAAGTATCAGTTGTCAAGTTTTAGGGAGGAAAGGCCCCAGAGAGCCCTCGTTCTCGCGTTAAGACTTGCCAACGTTAAGACTGCAAGAGAAACCAAGGCAAAAATATCCAGAAACGTGGCCTCCAGTCGTGGAGAAATAAGGAAGACATCTACGAAAGGACAGAGGACAGCTGCGCCCGGCGCATCGACTCCCGTTCTCCCTGCTCCCTCTTCCAAGCCTCTGGTACCTTAGGCGGCCGGATTTTGCAGATGCCGGTTTTCTCAGCCAGAGGCCGGATGCGGCCGATAAAGCTGAGCGGATCTGTGAACTCTTCCCAGCTAGGCTCAAAGACTGGGCACTCCGGAGGTGGCACGAACTCCGCCGCGTAGCCCACCGGCCCCACGCCCGCCATGGCAGGAGCCAGGCCCCCTGAGGGGGACGGATGGAGAAAGGCCGGCCGGAGCCCGCGAGCCCTTTCACATCCCCTCCCAGGGCCCGGAAAGCATCTTCTCAGCGAGCTACGCGACACCCAGAGCCACGATCGCTCCTTCCTGCTGTTTGTTATTGTTTCCTTCGGG